TAGATCTCAGCTTCGTAGCAGTCATCCTACAAGATTACGCTCTCCTCGGACTTTAAAAGACCATGCCCACAGCATTCCCTTTTTGATCCCCTTTCCTCATGTATTGGGTAACCCGAGGTGCGCTTCGTGATGCTTCAGTCGAACTCCGAAACGACAGGGAGGTCGTGATGGCGGCCCTTGAAGAGAATGGCCTTACCTTGCGCTACGCCTCTGCAGACCTCAAGGACGACGAGGAGCTTGCGATCGGGACTACTTTCGGAATTACTGCTCAAGGGTTGTTTTGTACATAGTAATTTAGTAAAGCTTATACCAGAGCCTATAAAGACCAAGCAACATCGTGCAGAATCAAAGGCCATGAATTGAATTTACAAATATGTTGCACAGATAATGCATTGCAACCCAAGTCAGCCCTAGGTGATGGCAGCAGTTCAGCGAACTGGCTTTGCCTTGGAATCTGCCTCGCCCGTTCTCAAACGGAGCAAAGACATCGTTTTGGCAGCCGTCCAACGCGATGGCTTGGCCTTGGAGTGTGCATCGGATGAGTTGAAAAATGACAGGGACGTCGTCCTGGCAGCTGTATGCCGTGATGGCTTGGCTTTGGTGTATGCTTCAGATGGACTGAGGAATGACAAGGATGTGGTGATGGCAGCAATTGATCAAATCTGGATTGCAGTGGAATACGCCTCGGAAGATCTGAAGAGAGACAAGGAGGTCGCTCTCAGTGCGATCCATCAAAACCCACAAGTCCTGGCTTCTCTGTCTAAGGACCTGAAGAGGGACCAGGGGGTGGTTTTGGCGACAATTCAGCCGAGCCCGCTTGCCCGAGGCACCTCAACGAAGGAGTTGAGGATGGACCATGAGGCCGTCATGGCTGCACTGCGCAAGGAATGCTCTGCACTTGTACATGCCGCGGAGGAGTTAAAGAAGGACAAGGGCTTCATGATGGAAGCAGTGCAGACCAATGGCTTTGCCTTGGAGCATGCATCTATGGGCCTGAAGAATGACAAGGATGTGGTATGCCGGGCGGTTCAGCAAAACGGGCTCGCCTTGCATCTAGCCGCATCCGAGCTGCAGAACGACTCAGACGTAGTCTTGATCGCCATCCGTCAGAACCCGTTCGCCTTGAGCTATGCTCCTACTTGGATGAAGGAAAGCCGGAGTTTCCTGTTGACAGCACTTCGTGAGAATGGACTTGCCCTTGAGCTCGTTGATGAAAGTTTGCAGACGGACAAGGAGGTCGGGCACGGAGTCTCAAGGAAACAGATTTGGGAAGATGTTTAGGTCTCTACTTGCTCAAACCTGGATTCCGAATCCTGTTGTCAGGTCGTCTTGGCGGCAGTTCAACAGAGCCTGTGCTGCAAGCATTGCTTCTCGAAGATAAGTGTCTTCTCCTGTTCACAAGCTCTAAAGTGTGGTTCGAAGCATGTACTCGTCGAGACTGTTTGCTAGGAATGGCCTCGCCTTGGAGCATGCTGGAGATGAGCTCAAGAACAATCTGGAGGTCGTGTCTGCAGCTTGCAGCCAAGATCCTTGTGCTTTGGAATTCGCTTCGGCTGGCTTGAAGGATAATAAGGACCTCGTGATGGCGGCTGTCCTTCGCAATGGCGCTGTGCTGAAGCATGCTTCGCAGCATCTCCAGATGGACGATCAGCTGCTCTTGGCAGCAGCTGCTCGGCCCTTGCGCCGCTTCTCGTATGAAAGAGCCGAGATTGGAGTGGGGCCATTTTCAGCAGGGAGACTGCTGACACAGGAGCTCTTCCCCGAAGCCTTGCCGAATGCATTCAAAGAGCCAGGGCCTGATGCAGAAGAGCTGGTCACACGACCTCTCACGAGTGGCCTGATGACGGAGCCGCCAGAGCAGAGAGACCATGTGGATGCACATTCAAACGGCGATGCAACATCGGATTCTGTGCTTGAAGCAGACACAAGCGAGGCGAGTTCTCCGAGTCGTCCAAATGCAGACATGCCAGACGAATCCCAGCACCGCACAGAACCGCCAACACCTCCGTCAACACCTCGAACGGAGTCAGGAGAGCCCGCCGCAGAGACAACGGGAGCCATGTCAGCTGAGGAAGATGGCTCTGAGGTGGTCGACCCAAGCTCGAACCAACATGACGAGCCGAGCCACCTGGAGGATCCAGGCATACAGATGAGCCACGAGCAAGATCTGCCTCTGAGTCAGGAGGCTTCATCCGAATTCGGGCATGAGGCAGTGCTCGCCACAGTGCCTTTGTCAGCACTGTTGACAGGCTTTCTCTTTCCCAACCTTGAACACATGGGTTTAAGGATGCTGGAGTGTAGTCAGATCCGTTTTGCTTTGTGCTTGGAGGTGCAGCGCGATCATCCCGGACTGGCCCTGGCCACCACGAGCGTCCCCATGACGGGGCCTTCTACGCTCGAGTGCTGTTTCGGTTTCTTTGTGCAGAGGTAGACGAGGAACCCAGAGTCAAGCACAAGTCGTCCTGTGATGAAGTTCTGACCTATGACTCCGTTTCCAAGTGCACATCTTCAACTGTGTTGGCTCCTCTGGATTCCTTGCGTAGGGCCAGCGCAGTGTGAGACAACCACAGAGGTGCGGAGGCGTTTAGTGTTCAATTCCCGCATCGCCGAAGCTCAGACAGAAAGGCGAAGTCTTTTTCGTTTTCGTTTGTTTAGGGTCTTGTGGAAGCATTATAGGTAGCCTGACAAAGGAGAGCGCGAAGGTTTGTTGGGCTTTTGGACTGGTTGTTCAGGTCTGTCCTGGTGTGGTGCTAGTAGTTCTTCCGAGTGCCTGTAATTTTTTTGTACTAAGCCACCAAGCCGCTGGACGCGAGATGTGGGCCGGCACCTGTGCAGTATGCTACTTGTTGCAGGACAGGAAGCTCCTGATTGACCCCGCGGGAAGCCCAGAAAAAGCGGCATCAGACTCGAGGTGCACTTTGCACCATCCTTGCACCAATCCATATTGGGATGCCGAGCTGCAGTCCATAGCAGCATCCGTGAACCTCGCATCCGTGAGCTGCAGCAGGATTCTGTACATGCCCGACGCAATTCATCCCAGCACGTGATAGAAGGCAGTAATTACTCTTTTGTCACACATAACCGTTCGGAAGAAAGATTAAAGAGAGAATGAAGGTAGGTCCTGTTAGTGCGTATGGATCAATGCATGCGAGCAGCTTCGTGAGTGCGGGTGGGATACTTCAACACTCGAATCGCTTCCAGTCCGAGGACAACTGGGTCAGCATTCTCAATGCTGAGCCGATCTTCGAGGCTGTGTGGCGTTTGGCGTATGCATGCAGAGTCTCTGTGACTACAGTGGTAGTCTCAGGAATTGCAAGAATCACAGTAATCATAGATATATAAATAGATAATCGTAAGACTGACAATGAGCGTCAAATTATGAGAATCAAGAGTTCAGCAGAACCCTAGAGTTGGAAGTGGTGCGCCATGTGCTGGCTAAAGGCATTCCCGGGAAGTCAAACTTCCTGTCCTACACCGTGTGGAAAGCCTCTGCCTGCATCATCGTGTCCTTCCGCCTGAACATGAGGGCAGCCAGTACCGCGTCACGACAAACAAGCATCAAAATCCAACGCCCCCCTTTCGTGATTTGTCTTCGGACCCGAGGATCCGGAAATACCAAGTCGCAAGACCATGGTTCCACAACATGATGCAACATGTTATCAGCTTCGCCCAGCTTCGCAACTGAAGTGCAAAGGCGGTCGATGCCTTCGCTGCGGAGCGGCTCCAGCCGGTGGAAGAGAAAAGAGCGCCGTCGAGGTTGTTAAGATTCGCTTCCACTGGTCAAGCATCTGCAAGCGGATTTTGGCTCAGAGCCCTTTCCAACCACTCTCAAAATCCTATGGCCAACACCACTCTACGCTTTCTTCGCCTCAGGTCTCCACCGGACTTTACACTCAGATGACAGCTCGCAAAATAGAAGAGCGCCATGGCACTCCGGGCCGTGCAGCAGAGTCTGATTCGAAGCAGATTCATGCATCCTCGGGTCTCAGAAACTTTGCTTGCTGCTGCCGCAGTCGCACCGGAAAGCGGGAAGCTCTGGACTTCGCCCAGGAGGATGGCTTTCGACCATGCCATCACTGAAGCAGAGACGGGTCTCCTCAGCGGGGCAGCTCAGAGGGCCTTCTCCTCGGGTTTATTCTCACAAAGTGCAGCCGACTCCTTGGCTCCTTTGGCCTCGGGCGCAGCGGACGAGGAGCTTCTTGGACCTGCCGTCCAGGAGCTGGTGGCCTGCCTTGCCGAGCGGTTCTTGCAGCGCGCGGTCTCCGCAGGCTTCTCCGTCCACCTCTCTGAAACTTCTGATGGAGACTTGAAGCTGGCAGATTCCTTGCTGGCCAAGCTAAGCCCTCCTTCGAGGAAGGACCTTGAAGAGAATCCACTCGGGGCAGAGCAGACTTATGGCTATTGGGCGCCTCATGTCGACAAGGCCAATGTGCCCGACTACGATGTCAGCGCCATCCTCTACCTCTCGACCATGGGTGAGCAGTTTTCCGGGGGGGCCTTCGCCTTCAACGACGCTGATGCAGACAGGATCGTCGAGCCCAAGATGGGGAGACTTCTGCTGTTTGACTCAGGTGTGGATTGGGCTTGAAGGGGTAAAGGAACTCCTGCGTCTTACTTCCCAACTCCCCCATTGGATGCATGTGCCCTGACCTGGCAGGCCCGAGCAACTTGCACCAAGTCTACCCAGTGCTTTCTGGCACTCACTTGGCGCTCTCGATTTGGTTCAGCCGTTTACTGACCAAAGACGCGGTCGGTGCAAAAAGGATCCGCTCGTTTGGCTGAAATAGGGCTTGAGACAACACTGGCGAGCGGAAGGCACAAAGGCAGTGAATTCCCAACCTGCACAATCAGGCCCTGACCAGAAGGCCTCTCAACCTCGATCACCCTGTCTCTACGCCGACTCTCTGCTTTCGACGGGGCAAATTTTAGGGGGTCCAGGTGTAAGATATCTCAGAGATGCGTCTAAATTGTGACACCCCCAACCCCTCATCAGCGCCCAGGCTGCACGATAAACTGGTTCAGAGAATGGCCGGCAGAGGCACTGTCCTCTGTCGCACAGCAGCAACTGACGGTGAACCAGGCCACCGCTTTTGGAAAATTCCTTGAGCTCAGTGTGTGCACATATGTATAAGACTGCATTTAGCAGTAGAAATCTGTGTATCTGTATACAAACACGAAACGAATAAACCAGCCGCGCATGCATGTTTCTTTCGTTGAGTGTACAAACACGTATAATTACCGTGTACTCCAGGAACCAATGAACCGCATCGTCGACATGTCAAATGCTTTAGTATAGGGATCAGTATGGCCAAGGATTATGAGTAAGTATGATTACGGGAAATGCTGTTGTAGTATGCATGAGCTGTCGTTGGCAGCGCGGCTACTTTTCAGACCACAATTCGTGTCAATGCTGTGTGTACACCGTACTGCTGCTTTTGTTGTGCGATTGTCCTCTGTCTCTCTGGGGGTTTACGGCGTACATGCATGCAAGGCTACCGTGCGAAAACACTGGCCGCCACACCGCGCCTCCGACACAAAAATCAGGACCAAACACATGCGCAACAACGAGAGGATAATTGCCCTCGGCAGCCTCAAGACGCAACCACTGAAACGCACAGCCAACAGCCAGTGAGAGCTTGCAAAATGTCATCCCCAGTGCAGACGAGCAATATACGAACCAGAAAATCCAAACGGATACAGAGCAAAGCAAACGCATCGCAACAACAACACTTGTTTGCTGTATTTGCATGCTGGGTTTTCTTCGTGTTGTGCATAGAATATTAAATTGAAGCTGATAGACCTTTTGAGCAGACATTTCGGCAAAGAGACTTGGATGATGCTGTTGTCACATTGCTCTAGGCATCGTTCGTGTTGTTTTGACGCTTTTTCAGTGTGTCGAAGACAACTCAGCCAGGGACGTACTGTACTAGGTGATGCTTAGTTACAAACTGGCTCGAACGGCAGCAAGCGTATGCGAAGCGAAACGTGCAACTGCGAGCTCTCACCCTATGCAAGTGTGAACTCTCACCACCCAACGGTTCCCAATGCTGACCACAAACTCCCAAAACCTTGGTCCCAAGATGCAAAGCCCAAAAACCTGACCACAAGACCCGAAACCCTCGTCTCCAAGCTTTACGACCAAATCCCGGTAACCTGCACACGAACTCAACGTCGGTAGCTCGACAGGTGCAGCTTCCTAACTTCGAGGGCTCTGTGAAGCTTTTTCAGGCAGGCCTTTTTCCATGTTTCGACCTTTCGAGTTTCAGGCTTTAGCATGGGGATTGCAGTTCGCAGATGCAGGGGCTTCATGTCCCCTATTGGGTAAGAGTCGAGAGCTTCTACGTCTCAGCAGGTGCGTTCCGCGTCCCACTCCAATCCCCACCCAAAGCTGTAGGCGTGCAAGGTTCAACTGTTAAAGCCTCCCCCCGCAAGTTCTAGCTTTTACCTTTGCCTATCGAAGATCAAGACCCGAAGTATCCCACAGCCTTGAAGTCTTTAAGCCCAGACTCAAGCTGCTAAGCCCTGTCATCCGGAACCCTGAGCTCTGCACCTCTTCAGCCAGGTGATGCATATGAGCGTGGAGCAAGCCTCCAAGAAGTTCTTGGAGCAGAACAAGCCAGGGGCTCGGCAATATCCTCGTCTCCGATAGTGTCTTCTTCGGAGGGAGGGGAAAAACTGTTGAGTTTTGGCGCAGTATGTCTTGTGATCGTTCTTCGGTGGCCCCTCCCACTCTCAGATTCACTTTCTGTTCCTCTCTGGAAAACTTGGTCTTTTCGTCGTCAAGAGCCTCGATGCGACCCTCTGATCCTTCGGAGTGGCCGTTCTACGATTCGCTCCCGATTTGTAGTGTTGTGCGTCCTTCTCATGGATTGGTCCTTCCAGCTACCTGTCTCGCCTTTCAACATAAGGACCTACTTCTCATGTCGCGCAGCACACCAAAGCATTAAAGCCCCGTGAATCCCGTAAGCCTCAACCCGCAGCACCAGTTTCTAGCACACCCATCAGGCGCCATGTCTACAACACGCCGACCAGCTACCTCGAGCTCCTCTCCAGCTTCATATCAGTACTGGCCATGAAGCGGAAGCAGGCAGGTTCCTTAGGCTGCAAGGGTACCGGGTCGAGAGCAGCTGGTGACCCAGGCCTAGGGATTCAAGATTCAACATGTGTCGAAGACCTGGCCGCAGACGACCTGACAAGAGTGCTGCGCGAACAGGTGGGCACGCAGCAGAAGAGATACAAGGACCGCGACTGGCATTTGGAGCTTTGGTTCAGAGCCTTCATGAGTACAAGCATGTTATGAGATTCCTGGAAACCTTAGCCTCATTGCTTCTGCTCCATGTGGTCTCAAATCAATGCCGAACCGCCCATATCGCTTACTTCCTCCGCCAGATAAGCCCTCAGACACGTCAGCTCCAAAGCCGGGAGCAGGTTGCCAATCGAATCCCTAACTCCTAAGCAGACTGAAATCACTGACCGGACAAACCTTGGAAGCCCAGCCGAAGTCTTCACAGGTTGGCCTGGAGAAGATAGGTGATGCCGAGGAGCAGGTGGGTCCTTGTTGGAACTGCAGCAGTTGTGTCTTTCTGCCGTTGATTGTTTTTGCTTTTGATATGTCTCGTCGTCGCGGTAATAGTATGACTATTAAACAGATGAGTATCAACAGTGATATTTGACACTATCACCGGACATGCTGTTCGTAATGGTAATTACTTGACTTGTTGTGCCTAGTCGTGCTACCAGTCCAAGCTCTAAGCACCGAAGAACAATCCCTTAGCAATCCTGAGCTTCCCAAGCCACTAAATGTCTTCAAAATGTACACCACACCGGCTGGAGCACGGTTTGCACCCCATATAGTATGCATACCATCGCGGCGGGTGCAGCGGGAACCCGATTGCCAATTGTGGATTTCGAGACCACCGTAAGACTTTGTTAGCGACTTCGGGCGGTTTGAGGGCTGAAAGGAGCACGGGTCTGTGGTGCTGTGGTGCAGTGAGAGCACGGATGCTGACGCTGATGATGAAGCGGACGATTCTTGGCTCGGTGCTTGTGTTTGTGCCACACCTTGAGCACGCTTCGTAGTTCCAACGGCCGAAATCAGGTGTCTGGCTTGCAGCAGATGCTGGTGGAGTCGTCCCGCCACGTTTTGATTTGAAGTAGCAGGAGACAGGTGCAGAGAGGTTTCAGTTGGAGCTCCCATGCCAGTGCTTGCTTGAACTTTGGATCTGAACTTGCCTTTCTCAGAACATCGCACAGCATCCGGCCTAAGAGCTCCAAGTCAAGACCGAACCCCCTACCTTGCGCAAACTTACGACTTGTTTGAGGCTGCAGGTGGTGACCTCAAAGGATGCAAGCATCCCGTAAAAGTCCGACGCGAAAGCCCCCGTACTGTTAAGGTCAGAAACCATCATCATTGCAAATACTGCAATGATTACTGTTGTCTCTTGCGTTTGTACTTCTGCTTACTGTCATCTGGATTTTCGGCAGCAACAGCCGGTGCAGCAGGACGATTAATATTGCTAGCAGCGGCTTTAGTTACAGTTGTACTTGTAGTAACTACATTGTAGTGGTGGCAGTATGTGGTAGTGCTGGTGGTGGTGGTGGTGGTGGTGGTGGTGGTGGTGGTGGTGGTCGTGGTGGCAGCAGTAGTAGGAGGAGTAGTAGCAGCAGTAGTAGTAGTAGTAGTAGTAGTAGTAGGAGTTGCAGTAGCAGTAGCAGTAGCAGTAGTAGTAGTAGTAGTAGTAGTAGTAGTAGTAGGTGTAGGTAGTAGTAGGAGTAGCAGTAGGAGTAGTAGTAGGAGTAGTAGTAGTAGTAGTAGTAGGAGTAGGAGTAGGAGTAGGAGTAGGAGTAGGAGTAGCAGCAGGAGTAGTAGTAGTAGTAGTAGTAGTACTACTACTACTACTACTACTACTACTACTAGTAAAAGTAGTAGTAAAAGTAGCAAAAGTAGTAAAAGTTGTAATAGTAGTAGCAGCAGCACAGCAGTGGTGGTAGTAGCAGTAGTAGCAGCAGGAGGAGTAGCAATAGCAGCAGCAGTAATAATCGTAGCACAAGTAACTACAGACTCGTATGTTGGGATGCGAGGTATAGATAGAGGCAAAGGTTGGTCAAGAAAAGCTCGTGAAGGCGGGGACATCGGGATACGCCTTTGCAAAAGGGTCTGCGAGACTCGGATCAAGCGTCAAGTCTTGGGCATGAACCTGAATATTTTTATAGATTTCTGAATATCTCTAACTCTAACGTAGTTGGAGAGCGAGCTGTACTTGAGGTCAACAGGCTCCATGATAGAAGTTTCACGTCTGCAGCATCACATCCTCGTTTCTCGCTCACTCTTTGCACGCGATTGTTTAGAAATAGCATGAAAGAGCAAAGCTTGGACAACAACCAAGAGATGGATTTTAAAGCCGTATATCTATGTCGTGTGTAGCTAGCGCGACGGGGGTCTCTCATGCCAAGAGACGCTCCACCTCACCTCTGCTTGGCAAGATATCTGCATCACTGTGAGGCTTCAGGATCAGTTCGCCTGAACGGAAGTCAACCTCGGTTGCAAAATGTTCATCGATCTCCTTGGAATTCTTCAACTGGCTCAGACACTCGGAGATGTTCTTCTCTGCGGAGAGCAGCAAGGAGCTGTTAGACTGGACCAGTTGCTCGATCCTGATCTGGTTGATTGCGTTCAAGCGTGGAGGGTGCATCCTCTTGTTGATGTCTGCGCTAAGAAGAGTGCGTGCTCCACTCGAGACCATCTGGAACATGACCTTTGTGCCGAAATACTTGGGGTTGCCTGTTTTCATTTCGACCGCACAACCACGTTCATCAACTGCATCGACATCGGCCGAGAAAAGGACGGTGAAACCAGCAACGTGCATGATGTGAAGGCTTTCTGTCTTCATCAAATCATGTTTGTCGCTGATTCCTCGGCCGGTCATGAGTCTCTCAAATTGGAATCCGATGTCGGCATAGTTCTGCACGTACTGCTTGTGCTTGCACAACAGGATAACGTCTGTGCCAGGGCAGCGTTGGGTCAAGTACTTAGTGCCGGCCTCGATGGGTGCCCTGTGCGCCAGGACTTCCAGCGATGAGCCACCCAGAAGAAAGTCAATGCCCTCTAACGATCCACGTCGCTGCCAGGCTAGGTAGAGGGGCACCATGTACCCTGCATCATATGGAAAGACATTGGGCACATTTTGAGGAACCGGTGAGCCATCAAAACTGCGAGGCAGGGAGATGCCGTGGATATTCACTATCGCAGGTGGCTCCCTGTCTTCGTCGCAAAGACCTTGCAGAACATCTGCAGCCGTAACCTCACGGAAGCAGCTCTTTTGCGCGAGAACTGCCGGACTCCACGTGTAGATTCCCAGGTCCTGGACCTCCTCGATCCAACCCAGGCCACTTGGAAACCTCGCTTGCGAGCGGCGATCTTGGTATCCTGCCATGGAGCCACTGTCGCTGGCCCGAAGTAGTGACTTACATGTGGTGCTGTACCTTTGTCTCGAGCTGCGTAGCAACAGGATGCACTTCTGAACGCATCGAGTGAGCCATGCTTTGGAACTGCCATGATCTGATATCTTACGCATTTATGTATTTACGTCGAACTCTAAAATCAAACCCAAAGGCATCTCAGCGTCGAGCTATGGTGTCGCAGAGCATCGGTCGGTAGTCGCCACCCCAGGCATGTACCTCACACGGCCCACGGCCGACCCGCAACTGTGACTGTACTATACTATCATAGAACGTACCATAGGACCATACTATACGGTACTGTACGATACCATCATACAATACAACATAGAATACTACAACTTACTATAATGTATATATCTGTAAATTATAAGTTCCTAGGTTCCCTTTCTAAGTACCCAATATTTTACGGCACCCTTATAAAAGGACCCTAAAAGGGACCCTAGTTTAGAAAAATACCCAGATTCATGCATGTAGACGAATGCATGCTGAATGGACGAAGGAAAGACCCATTTTCGTCCGACAATGTCTGCAAGAGATTTTCGAGAGCTGATCTTGCAGAACTGCACCCTGCTGAGGCATCAACCCGAAGTGCCACCTGTTTGGGTTTGGGCCTTCATGGCCCTTAGGTCTGTGGGCAAAGTTTCATCGCAGGGGTTCTTGGGGCTGCTAAACAGGTTTAAGAGCCGGGATCTGACAGGCTTCCCAGCTCCGTGAAAGCACAGACTGCAAATCTTTGTGCACACACCATATGGAAACAGTACACGATACGAGTCACAGACGTTGAGCACGCGTGTGCATGCAGTCACGTGCACATATGGTAGTTTATGCGCATGGGTTAGAAACTGCATGAGCGATCTGGACGGGTATCTTCACATAAGTACAAAATATCGCTCTCATACATACATACATACATACATACATACATACATACATACATACATACATACTTACATACATATACATACATGCATGCATCCACGCATGCATGCATACATGCCTGCATGCATACATAAATATGCAGAAATGTGTGATTACGCGCGTAAATATGCATCTGTGCATACCGCTCACCACAACAACTCAGCAGGCAACCAAATGTGCTAACTTGCGACACCACAAACACAACATACAGACACACACACACACACACACATGCATGGAGAAAACACACACACATGCGCGGACGCATCCATGCATGCTTACATGCTACGTACATACCTGTATACGACCGTCCATACGGAGATGCATGCATGAATGCATACGTGAGTACCTGCATAGATTATACGTACATACATACATACATACATACATACATACATACACCCATACATACTTAAATACAAACTACATACGTACACCCCATACATATGTAAATACATACATACATACATACATGCATGCATGCATGCATGCATGCATGCATGCATGCATACATACACACATGCATACATACATGCATACACACATTACATCCATGACATGAAATGACATGACATGACATTACATGACATACATACATACGTGCATACATACATACATACACAAACACATACGTAACATCATGCATGTATGCATACATGCGTGCGTGCATGCGTACTTATACTTGCACATGTATATATATATACACACACACGTAATTACATACCTACAGACCTCCTACATAGCTACCTTCCTGGCTACCTACCTACCTACCTGACTAGACTAGCAACCTATCTACCTAGATACCCACCCATGTACATACATATATATATATATATATACATACATACATACATACATACATACATACATACATTACATACATACATTACAAGCCAGAATTCCACAAAACAGGTACCAAATTGCAAGGCGACAACTGCAGACCACGCTGCAAGAGCCCCACCCGGAAGATCACGAAAACGACAACCACAATCACAACCTTCGGCTTGTAACACTCTTGGCCCAAAAATTGCCTCTGAGATGTCCCCGGCTCGGTCTGGAAGCACCTCTCGGGATTGAGGGCTGAACGGGTGTGAAAGATGTAGCTAAAGCGGTGTATAGGGTTTAGCATGTAAGATTATCGTGTAGAGTTTAATTCATTCTAGGGGTTCATGACCATCTTTGATACTGTATTAGGGACAGGAAACTTGCACAGAAAAGCACTCGGCGTACAAGGACTGCGGTAGTTCAAACGCGAAGAACTGGCACCACGCATAGACACGCGGAAGGTCCGTTTCAATGATGCTCGTAGTCTCCCTTTGGTAGATTCCGAATGAATCCTTAGTTGAACCCCGTTGAACCCTTAAAGAGCACTTAGCAAAGGAACGTGGAACCCTATCCCCACCGAACCTGCTCAACCGAGCCCTGAAAGAACCCTCCAAAACCGTGATTCCGTCCTGAAGCAGCTCGAGGAGGAGTGGCACGTGCTCGAGCTTCAGTGCCTTGCGATCTTGAGTATACGGGTTACGGCTTTTGTCGGGCTCCTATACTCTACGATTGGGCCAGGGCTCCGAGCTGGGAGTCATCAGTTCCTATGAAATACAGGGCTTTGGGGTTTCGAGGGGCAGGGTTTTGAAGTACAAATACTGGTCAGCCCTGCAGCACATGAGCGGTATAGATTCTGATAGAATACAAAAACAGACACTTGGCCATGGCCCATGCTAGCAGCCTATCAGCGGCAGCATGTGCAC